CAGAGACCTGTGTATCTATCTTTCCTGACTGGCATTTTACTGCAATATCCCCAGGTGTCTAAAGGCCAGTGCCTGTGCTTTGCTTGCTCTCTGAGAGCCAAGACCAGTGTCAAACAATGATTTCTAAGCAAGCACCTTTATCCTTATTGTAAAAACATTAAAAAGAACATACAAAAATGAACAAAATAAAAGTCCCTATATGCATTTTAAAAGCTTACAAGAGGTCAGCCATCAACCTTATGGGACCCAAGTTGGTCAAAATCTTTCAAACTGTTCCGCAAAGGTTGGGGTCCTTGGACAGAAGGACCTGTCTGTTTTCTGGATCCAAATGAAGACCCTGTGTCAGTTCAAGCTTATCCTTTTATATCAAATGTCCTTCCTATGGCTCCTAGTCACTGGAAAACCCAGTCTGAATCAGTATCTTCAAACCACTCCAGAAGGGAGTAACTCTTTAGAGTTGTATTAAGGTGAAACACTGAAACTAAATCTCTCACGGATTTTTAGTACCTGGAAGAACAGTAGTAACCCTCCCTCATAGAGCAGAACACAGTCATATACAAGCCATTCATAGACTTAATACAGTAAGGCCTCCCAAAATGTTTTAATTATGCCAGTGCTAAAAAGTTGTTTTTTAAAATGTATGAGTACTTTGAATAACTGTGCAGGTACCACAACCTCAGCATTTATCATACTTTACCTGATGATATATGACAGATTTATACATTTAGCTGCTGCTGCTTTTGTTCTTTTACAAAGGCATGCACAGTATACTGTATAACTGGCATTTTTACCTTTGGGCCAGGCATTCCTATTCCAGTTTCTCCAGTCAATCCAGGTGGTCCAGGAAGGCCTCTTTCACCCTTTTTAAAAAAATAAAAAGGAAACCATTTTGCTTTTAAAACATATCAAAGCTTTGTAAGTTTCTAGAAGAACCAGACCCATGCAATGTGTCCTAAAAGGAATACATTTTGAATATGAATCACAATTTTTTTTTACTCATGTTAAGAGTTGAATATTTTAAAGCCATTGGTATTATGTTACACTCTTGGTAACCCAAACGACTGTCTTTTCCCCAGGCCCTTATGAGTCAGTCTGTGTAAAAAGCTTGCTATTTCCTGGCCACCATGATACTAACAAAAGCAAATACGTTGTTGGTTTTATTAAAGATGTGACTTTTTTCACTCCCTGCATACTTGTGTACAACTTTTCAGTGAATGTAAAGGATATGGTGTGATTATGTATTCTAAATACGATGCACAGTCTACACTGAACGGAGCTAAATAGGGGAAATCTCTAAAAACAAATAGATTAGAGTAGCTTCCCTGAAGAAGTGATGCAAGCCCAGACAGCTAGATGAGGCCCATGAATCAAACTGGGAATACAGAAGGCACTAGAAAAAAAATGGTAACAAGATAGTTTAAATTACCTGTTTCGTAAACTGCCATACTTTCTCATAGGAATAGACCAATGAAATCAATTGGATTGTTTAAATGATCCAGACATATTCAGGTATGTACAACTATGCATTTTAATTTTTATGATTCAGTGACACTGTGGTCATTTTAATTTTGAATCTTCTTGCTTCTTTTACTTCCATGTGTCAGTCTTGTTATTCTATGTGTTGAGTGCTTCTGATAATAAAAGTCAGAATTTGTCCTTTTGGATTTATACATTGTAAAGGAAAATGTGGTCCACAAAATGACCACAGGGACTGATGATTATTCAGTAGATTATTCAACCTAGAATACTCAAGGAGCTGATAGAGGAGGTATCTGAGCCTTCAGCTAACATCTTTGAAAAATCATGGAAGTCAGGAAGAGATTTCAGAAGACTGGAAAGAGGCAAATATAGTGCCCATCTATAAAAAGAGAAATAAGAACAACCCAAGAAACTATAGCCCATTCAGTTCCACTTCTGTGCCAGGGAAAATAATGGAGCAAGTAATTAAGAAATTCATCTGCAAACATCTGGAAGATAATAAGGTGATAGGAAACAGACTTTAGTAAGGCATTTGACACATCGGATGACCTTTCTATCAATAAACTAGGGAAATACAACCTACATGGGGCTACTATAAGATGGGTACATAACTGGTGATAACCATTCTCAGAGTGTAGTTATTAGTGGTTCACAATCATGCTGAAAGAGCATAACAAGCGGCGTTCTGCAGGGGTCTGTTTTGGCACTGGTTCTGTTTGATATCTTCATCAGTGATTTAGAGGATGGCACAGAATACGATTATTCAGTTTGCAGATGATACCAAGCTGGGAGGAGTTGCAAGTGTTTTGGAGGATAGGGTCAAAATTCAAAATGATGTGGGCAAACTACAGAAGTGATCTGAGGTAAATAGGATGAAGTTTAATAAGGACAAATGCAAAGTACTCCACTTAGGAAGGAACAATCAGTTTCACACATAGAGAATGGAAAGTGATTGTCTAGGAAGAAGTACTGGAGAACGGGATTTAGGGGTGATAGCAGACCACAAGCTAAATATGAGTCAACAGTGTGACACTTTTGCAAAAAAAGTAAACATGATTCTGGGATGCATTAACAGGAGTGTTGTGAGCAAGGCACGAGAAGTCATTCTTCCGCTCTATTCTGTGCTGTGTAAGCCTCAGCTGGGGTATTGTGTCCAGTTCTGGGCTCCACATTTCAAGAAAGATGTGGAGAAATTGGAGAGGATCCAGAGAAAAGCAACAAGAATGATTAAAGGTCTAGAGACCATGACCTATGAAGGAAGACTAAAAGAATTAGGTTTGTTTAGTTTAGAAAAGAGAAGACTGAAAAGGGGACATGATAGTGGTTTTCAAGCATGTAAAAGGGTGTGTGATGGGGCAGCAGAGGCCCACACTTGCAGCCCTTCCCTCCTTATGGGGGACAGGCAGCAGAACAATGTGGGGTGGAAACTGTTGCCCCGCGTGACTGAGCCGGGGCAGCAGAACGGCTCAACGCCAGGCTCACTAAACGGGGTGGGGGAATACCAGGAGGCGAGGCCTGGCGCATGCGCCGGTGGTGCTGCACAAGGGGATGACCCACCCGGTGTTGCCGGGCAACCACATGCCGCCCCAGCTGACAGAGCCGGTGCACTTGGGGCCGACTAGGGAGGCGTGGCCGCGCAGCGCAGTACTTCCCCCGTGGACTGTGGGCGGGGTAACGTCAGTGGGGACGCCAAAGGGCGAACCGGGGCAGAAGCCAGGGGAATAAAAGGGCTAGAGGAGACACTGGGGGAGGACAAAGATGCAGGAGGAGAGGAGGAGAATAAACAGAGAAAGGAAGAAGGAGCTGAAGAGGGACTAGGACAGGAAAGGTCCAGAGTGCAGGAGACCACAGACAAAGGGGCGTGGTGCGTCCAGGACGCCGGGAGGAAATGCCCAGCGGACATGGAGCCTGGTGAGCCAAGAGGGGGAGGAAGCGGCCCAGGGCAGGGCTAGGGAAGTAAGCCTGCAGACTGACGAGTTAAGGGGCAGCACCCAGTCAGTCAGGTCGCAGGGGGAGGCTCAGCTGCCCTTTGACCTTAGGGCCCTGGGTCAGGATTCGGAGAGAGGGCGGGCCTGAGTCCCTCTTCCCTCCCTCCACTACATACCGCCCCAGCCAATTGGAGCAGCATTCGTGATGGCAGCCAGGAGAGTAGCCCTACGAGGCCCGACGGGACCAGTAACTAGAGGACCAGACTAATGGATCCTTTCACAGGGTATTACAAAAAGAATTGTTTTCCTTAGCCGGTGATGATAGGACAAGAAGCAATGGGCTTAAATTGCAGCAAGGCAGGTTTAGGTTGGACATTAGGAAAAACTTGCTAGCTGTCTGGGTGTTTAAACACTGACACTGCCTAGAGAGGCTGTGGAATCTCCATCTCTGGAGATATTTAAGAGCAGGTTGGATAGACATCTATCAGGGATGATCTAGATGGTGCTTGTTCCTGCTGTGAGGGCAGGGGACTGGACTTGATGATCTCTTGAGGTCCTTTCCAGTTCTATGATTCTATGTTAGTATGGGAAAGAGATGAAGCACCAAGAGAAAGAAGGCATTTTCCCAGTATTGTTTATGAAGTATATCCTGCATACACACAAGTTTCTAACTGAAAAGTTGGTTAGTTAAATGACTGAACCCTGGAAGTTAAGGGACTAATCCAAAGCCCACTCAGGTACATGGAAAGACACTGACTTCAGTGGGCTTTGGATCAGACCCATAGCATTTAACATTCAAAAACCAGATGTTTTAAAAGTATTTAGGCACCTAGCTGTCACTGATAGCCTGCTTATTTTTATACTTCTCTTCAAGCCTACATTCGAGCACTTGATCTTACTCCTGTCATTATTAATGGCAAAAACTCCAGTTGACTTAAATGGTGACGGTTTAACCCCGCACTATAGGATTGGTAGCACCATAGAAGGCTGGAGTCCTAGGAACATGGGAATTTCCATATTGAATCAGACCTGTGGTCCAGCTAGTTCACTGTATTATCTCTATGAGAGGGCAGAACCAGATATTTCAGAGGAAGGTGTGAGAATCCCATAGGAGATAGATGTGGAATAATTTGCACAGCATTAGTTTTCATCCTGGTCTGTAATTGACAGCAATAGGTTATGTCCTTAAGCATGAAGTTTAATATTCCCTCCAACATCGTTATCATAATTAATTATAAACTGCTCTGGATATTCTTAGGACTGTCAGCAGTAAGGCCTTGTCTATACTGACATGTTTTGTCACCAAAAACTGCCTTTTGGTGACAAAACAGTGTGAACATTTACACTGCAATGTGACTTTTGTTGGAAAAACCATGTGGTTTTAGCGACAAAAAACTTCTAGCTATGCGAGACACATTTTTCTCTTCCCCTCCCTTTATTATTGAGAAAGGAGAGTCCACACTGGCTCTGTTTGTTTGCTGAGAGGAGTGGCTTCCGCCAGTATCCTACAATACCTTCCCTGATGGCTATGCTCATTGTTTTGTGATCTCTGCTACCGTGCAGGCATGCACTTCTTGCTTTCCAAAGCTCTGGGAAGTATCTGGCAGCTGAATAAGCTGCTCTGTTTGGGGAACAAACAAATAGCAAATAATTGGAATGCTGTGGTTCTGCCCTGCTAGGAACACAGCAGCAGGCAAACTGCTGCTGCTGGGGAAGGGGCTCAAGAGACTGCTGTTCTGCTTTGACATTCTTTAGCATGAAGCGCTCACAGAGGCATGAGGGAATCCCAAGAAGTGAAAGGATCAGCTCTGCCTTCTCACAATACTGCACTGTGGGATGCTTACCCACATTGTTTTGCTCTGTCAACAGGGTGCTAGCAATGTGACCATGAAATGTTGACAATGGAAGGCAGAAAAAACGGTTTGACCAGTTTTCACTTTCGGCAACTTTAGCATGTTGACAGCATTTTTGTTGCCAAACCTTCACAGTGTAGACCTAGTCCTAGGTACTAGCAATTCCCCTTGGAGTGGATTTAATTGCATGTGAGTGGGAATGGGGTGTGCAATGGCATCAGTAGTTATGCTGGTTATGAGAACAATCAACCCATCAACAGGTAAAGGACAGAAGGAAGTGCAAAGGAGGCTGCCAGGGATCCCAAAATCTCAGGATGGTGAGATCTTGCCCACTCCATCCCTGGAGCCTAGTCTAAAGGGAAGGATTACTACCAGTTACATGTTGCAGCACAAAGTTGTACTGGTAGAGGGCACCTAATAACTCGCACACTGGTGTCATAAGCTTGAAAACATTCCACCTGTTTGAGGTGGTCCAAAAGGTAGAGAAGAGAATTTGTGATATTGCCATAAGAGAGTTCTTCTGAAAGTCCAGAAGGCTGATAATGTAAAAATAGCACCTCCTTATTCAATGTTGTTCACAGTGCAGATTCCAAGTCTGATTTATGTACTTTACTGATGCATGTAAGTTTTGATTTGAATTTCACTTGTTAGCATTACAGAGCCAATTCAGCTATAAGAGAACAAAATGGATTTGATCTCTTTTCATACATAATGAACAAGACTATTCAATGAGATCAGGCTGCAGGACTCGTATTACTAATAAGAAGGCACAATCTGAAGGAAACACAGTTTGGCTTTCAGATTCCAGGCTGAATTTTCATGGTTGACACAAGTGAAACACATTTGTTTTCTAAATTGAACACATTTGATATATGAAGTGGTAAGCAATAAACAATTTTTGGAGTAATAATATACTTTCAATGTTCAAGAATAGGATATAAGTAACTCTACTGAAAAGACAACATCCAGCTAAATCTAATGTAGTAAACACCTGGAACAAACTAACGCTGTACTATGTAACTTGCTGGGACATTGGATAGATGGATTACTTGCAGTCCCCATTTAGCCAAAACCGCTTGAACAGAAGGGGAAAGCGAAGGTGAGGAAGAGCATTATTGTGGTTTGGACAACTATATTTGTCTTTTAACATTAAAAAAAAAAAAAAAAAAAGAGGAGATCCTTTTATTCTTGCCTTTGATCCTTGAACACCTTCTGGGCCTTGGTCTCCTGGGAGCCCTTGGGAACCCTGTTAAAACACAAACTTTTTTTCAGAATTTTTCAGGCCTTCAGAGCAAGGAATTTTTAGAAACAATCAATAATTTACTGCAATCTTTTGTTACAAACAATTCAAAATTAAGCATCTGAGGACAGAAGCTGGTTCTTTTGTAGAATAGAAGTAAACAGTTTCTAAATCTACACCATCACCACAACAATACTGTAAGCTTGTCTAGATATTAGTATTGTAGGGTTTGGGAGTTTTTACTGTATCCAATAAAAGGGTGTTAGGGAAAATGTAATATATTTAAAATGTGTAACTGACTTTTTTGGGTTGCATATTTTTCATAAAGATACTGATTTTTATTATGTGATATAACAAGTTTGTGTATATGATAGATTCTACTAAAGTAATAGACACAAGAATGGGGTTTTTAAGTGCAAAACCTCATTGCCTCCAGTCGGAAAAGAACGGATTCAAAATGTACAAATGAGCAATATACTGGGTTGTTCTAATTCCTTCATAAAATGGGAATATAATTTATCAATATATACCACTTTCAACTCCTTTCAGGAAACAATAAAACAGGCTAGATCTTCAGCAGGTATAAACTAGTATAGCTTCTCTGACTTGGCTAACTGCACTGACTTCAAAGGACCTATGCCAGTTTCCATCAGCTGAGGCTCTGGCCCATCTAGTTTGATTTATATGGGTAACAGCTCACTAGTACACTCGTTTATTTCAACAGTTTGTTGCCCAGGGCTCCTACAGGGTATCTTGTTATCAGTGATATTTCTTTGCCCACATTTCTACTTACATCAGCTACAGGTTGCACCTCCATAAACCGGGACTCTCATCTGGCAACATCTGTGGTCCAGGAGGACCACGGATGTTGCTGAAAAAGAGAGCCCAGGGCAGGAGGGCCAGTAGCTGAGAGCCCAGTGAAAGGCAAGCCTGGTGATAGTGAGGCCAGGACCTCAGCAACCCGGTGCCAGTAGCAGGGCTATGGTAGTGAGGCAGGGGCAGCCTGGCAACACAACTGGGACCAGGGCAGTCTGTGCTTGCCAGCCTGGCAGCGGGGTTGTGGCACTGCAACCCGAGCGAAGCTGCATGCCATCCTGGCAGTGGGGACAGGGCCACGTCAGCCTGGCTGGCAGTAAGTTTGGGCCGCAGCAGCCCAGCAAGGTGAGCTCTTCTGGGGCCATGGCAGCGGTACCGCGACAACTCAGCTGGTGCCGCGGCAGGTCGGCAACCCATTCGGGGTCACGTGCCAGTTGGTGATGGGGTTGGTGCTGTGGCAGCAGAGCCAGGGCTGCATGCTGCTGTACCAGCAGCAGGCCTGGAGCAGCAGTTATGACTGCGGGCCCAGCCCAGCCATGTTGCACAGCCAGCAGCAGGGCCGAAGGAGTGGGCAGCGGGGAAGGGTGACAAGCTGAGGGGGCTGGTGGAAGGGGACCTTCCCTGGTCCAGCAAAATTCCTCATCCAGGACTGCTCAGGTCTCAAGGGTACCCGACCTGTGAAGTCCGACCTGTACTTACTTATGATGTGACAGTGGTTGGCAGGCCTGACATTTTACGTGCTTTCTATTTCCTAAAACTTGTTGCATATTGTCATTTTCTGCCTAATCAAGGTTTTAGTCACCTGCTCCTTATTCAAGGCAATGAAGACAATGAGGGTGAAATCCTGGCTCTGTTGCAATCAGTGGGGCTGCGTCTACACTGGCATGATTTTGCGCAAATACTTTTTACGGAAAAGTTTTTCCATTAAAAGTATCTATGCACGAGAGCGTCTATACTGGCATGTGCCTTTTCACAAAAGATTTGCTTTTGCGCAAAAGCATCCATGCCAGTATAGATGCTCTCTTGCGCAAGAAAGCTCTGATGGCCATTTTAGCCATCGGGCTTTCTTGCGCAAGAAATTAACGTTGCTGTCTACACTGGTCCTCTTGCACACGAATACTTGCACAAGAGGGCTTATCCTTGAGCAGGAGCGTCAGAGTATTTGCGCAAGAACCACTGATTTTGTACATTACAACGTCAGTGTTCTTGCGCAAATACTCGTGGCCAGTGTAGACAGGTGGCAAGATTTTGTGCAAAAGCAACCACTAATGTAGACACAGCCTGGGACTGGCTCTAGAACTCTAGGCAGGTGAGCTAGTCACCTCAGCGTGGCCATGCTATGAACTACTAGAATGATTTTACAGCTTTGCAAAGCACCAAGGAAGCAAAGTACATCTGTTCTGTTTGTTACCTGTAAACCTCTCGGTCCTGAGTGACCAGCTGGACCTTCTGGACCCTGAAAAGCAAGAAGAAAAAAAACAGCTACAGAAATCTGAAACTTCTGAAAATATATTTGGATACATTAAAATATAGTTTGAAGAACACCAAGAAAATAAATCAAGAAGATGTCAACAATTTGCAAGAAAGTACCGCATAATATGAAAACTGAGATATAGTAGTTATACTTATAGTATGAGATTGAAATTGAAGTCAGATACCAAGATCCTGCAGGGTCAAGTTTTACATATACTTCATTAAACATGTTTATTGATACCATACACTTCAAGCCCATTGCTAAGTTAAAACACTGGTTTTCATTTTCACAGTCATGCACCTCTCACCCCATCTTTCCCCTTAAGAGTGGGTGTGATTCTGCTCCTGCCGAAGTCAATGAGAGTTTTGCCAGTTTCTGAAGTGGAAGTAGGCTTGAGCCTTAAACTCAAAAACATTAAAATATAAGTGCTGCTGGGATAATTACTGCAAAATTACCTTTGTTCAGTTTACCTTTATTTGATTGATCTTAAACTTCGTCAGTTGTGTTCTCCCTCAGCTTTATATATAACATTTACACTGACTCTCCCACAATCCCCATTTTTCAAGGATAACACATTTTAAATATCAGGCAATTGTGTTCTGCAACTTCTCCATAATCCATTTCACTGTACATTAGGAGAAACATTGTTCTAGTTCTAAAGTGTAATAAGGAGATAGATAGATGTTTTCCCTAAAGTGTAATAAGAAGATAGATACTTACTCTGTCACCTTTTATCCCTGGAGTGCCACAGTCACCTCTTTCTCCCTTAAGAAACAAATCATAAACATTCAAAAAGTTTACTTAGCATTACAAGAATATTTTTATTCAGTATATCTTCCTGCCAGCACATGTCCCAAATGCTACATTTTTTTCTGAACAGCCAGCCAACAAAATATGTTGACATGTATAACTACAAGACAATATCAACATGTCAAGAAAAGTTCCTACTGCAAATCATACCTTTTCTCCTTTGTAGCCAGATTTTCCCTGGAAAAAGAAACAAAAAATATTGGAAAACATTTTAACCAGATTTAAGTAAATTAAATGTGACAAACTTACACAAGCTGGTACTCCATGGTCTTTTATCGAAAAACATAACACTTCAGGCTCTAATAAATATTCAGATATGACAGCGGTTTCCAACCGCTGGTCTGTGCACCAATGCCGGACCATGAACCGCTGGGTGCCGGGCCACGCCCATGGGGTTGGGATATACTCTGAGCGCGTGTCCGGGGGCTGTTGGAGCTGAAGCTGGCTGTTTGCAGCTGCTCTGGGGGCCAGGGCTGGAGTAAATACTTTGGCAGACTGGTATTCATTATTTGTATCATGAATACACAGATAAAAGGTTGGTGGTCCACCAAAACTTTGTGAATGGGTTTGCTGGTCCACAGTTTAAAAAAGATAAGATATGACATGAGATACAACACTGGATTTCCAATTGAGGTGACAAAATTGCTATGTTTGAGATAGCTACCTATAATAATATATGTTATGTGCTCAAAATACCATATGTCAATGCAATTTTAAATTGTGATTAATTACACAAAGTCTGGAGATCTAGAGTTAAGGTTGACACTCCTTTAAATCTAAGGTTCCAAAAAGGCAGAGGTGGTATGAATACTGTGAGGACATCAAGGTTTGAGACTTGTTGCCAAACTTTTTTAAAAATTAGAGGGAAAAAAGCATGGGGAAAAAAATTCAGTGCCCTGCACAAAAACAGTGCCACATTCCTAGATGCCAACTTATCTTGCCGGGGGGGTTATCGAACACCCTCTCTGCTCCAGGCCCCATCCCTACTCCATTACTTCCCCAAAGTCTCTGTCCTGCCTCTTCCCACTCCTGCTCCACCACTACCCCACCTATTCCTCACCTCCTCCTGCAAGTGCACTCCATCTCCACTCCTTTCCTCCCTCCCAGAGCTTCAATGCCGCAAATTAAATGTTTGTGGCACTCTGGAAGTGCTGGGAGGGAGGGAGGGAGGGAGGGAGAGTTGGTCAGTGCAGGGCCTGTAGGGGAGCCTGGACAACCCCTCCTTGACTAGAATAATACTGTCTGCATTGTCCGGCCCTGCCTCGACTGGACTAACAATGGCTGTCTTGCCCAAAGTGCGGATTTCTAATGCAAACTCAGGCCTGACTCAGGCCTGACTCAAGGAGCTTTGAGACTCAGGAGTGCTTTAAACAGTAGTGCGTAGGGAGTATGGTTTAGTGAAACCATGCCAAGAACATTGGGAGAAATCTGGTACTGGTACATGATATTTCTGATAAGCAAAAAATCTCAGCTACAGCCACAGAACTGTCAATCAAGTATATAGTTTTTGGCAATAGTCTGAATAGCAGGATGTATGACAAATATGGGCATAATAGATACTTTATGCAATATGTAATCAATTGGTAGATATTACTAGAATGACCAAGTCGACTATAAATATAGGTGTAGAAAAAGTAATCAGTGGGAGAGAGGGAGGGAGCAGGTTCTGCTCGTTGTAACTAGAAGTAATGGACCCCTTCACACCGGCTGCAGCAGTGCATGGTGTCCCGATGGGTGGGAATCAAAGGGACAATGACCTCCTGCCTGGTACTGTAGGTAGAATACAGGTGAAGTGTAAGTGAACTAGGCTTAATTATTGTATTACAATAATATTCTATTAATTCCTTTTGCATTGCTTTGCGCTCTATTAATTGCTTTAGAATGTATACTATTTAAGGTTTAAAGTGTGTAGTCATTTGTTTTTAAGGCTTGTAAAAGTTAAATAAGCAACTATATTTACTGCTTAAAGCTTGTAATAAATAAGTACGGGTATGTCTACACTACAAAGTTAGTTCAAACTAACGGACGTTAGTTCGAACTAACTTTCATAGGTGCTACACTACCGCTGTTAGTTCGAATTTAATTCGAACTAACGGAGCGCTTAGTTCGAACTAGGTAATCCCCATTCCACGAGGATTAAGCCTAGTTCGAATTTACTAGTTCGAATTAAGGGCTGTGTAGACCCTTAATTCGAACTAGTGGGAGGCTAGCCCTCCCCAGCTTTCCCTGGTGGCCACTCTGGCCAACACCAGGGAAACTCTACTGCCCCCCTTCCGGCCCGAACCCCTTAAAGGGGCACGGGCTGGCTACGGTGCCCGTGCCGGTGCAAGCCTGCCAGCACCCAGCCAGCAGACCCTGCACGCGGCA